AAAATACAGCAAAGAGATTAGGAAGGCGAAGAGGGAAAATTTCAAAACTTCTTTGAAGGCATCTCGAATACCCGGCCGCCGCGAGGTTACATAATGCTATAAGGAACAATAGAATCGCCTAAAAAGCAGATGGCAGCTACACCAGGGAGGAAAGGGCAACCGCCTTGATACTAGCATACTTCCCGGAGGCCTCTAACCTGACGGAGGAGCTGGAGGCCCATCGAAATAGGCCGCGACCATCTGATTGGAGACTGGCGAGGACCATATTCACTAAGATTTCATTCATATGGGCGATGGGCTCATTTGATCGCTACAAGGCTCCAGGGGTAGATGGCATCCGGCCGGTGATGTTACAGCAGGGCAGTGAGAGTGTAATACTGGATCTTGTGGCCATAATGAAAATCAGTTTGCGGAAGTATGTCCCACAGTTGTGGCGGAGGGCGCGAGTAATCTTTATCCCAAAAGTGGGTAAAGGAGACTACTCGCTAGCGAAGTCATTTAGACCAATAAGCTTAACCTCCTTTTCGTTAAAAGCTATGGAGAATATAATAAACAATCGCATTAGATCCACCATTCTAAGGAATACACCCCTGCACACCTGTCAGCGTGCATACTGGGCTGGAAGGTCCACGGACACATCCCTGTATCATCTGACGACCGAGATTCAGGGGCCCCTTAAATGCGTTGAATCAGTGCCCTGCGCCTTTCGCGATATAGAAGGAGCGCTTGACAATACGTCACACTCTGGAGTGCGCAGGGCACTACCGAGGAGAAACGTGCAGACAGCGATCTGCAATTGGGTGGATGCACTCCTGCGTAAAAGGATTGCTAAACCGAGGTAGGCGACAGCGTGGTACAACTTATCTTATCACCCCTTCTGTGGAGCTTAGTGGTGGATGAACTCCTTCAACTTCTCTCCGACAATGGTATCCGCTCCCAAAGGTTATGCGGTTGATATAGTGGTAATTGCCAGGGGGAAGTTTGAGAGCACCCTCTGTGACATCATTCAAAGAGGCTTAAGATTGCCGAAGGGATGGTGCGACAAGTTAGGGCTTATCATGAATCCTGCCAAAACCACCATCATTCCTTTAACTAGGAAAAGAGCCCTTTCGGGAATGAGGGACATAACCTTGGAGGGGGCCGTAGTCAGCGTCGCCTGCGAAGTGAAGTATCTGGGACTAATCCCAGACACCAAACAACTATGCAAGCAACATGTGGACGCGATCACCTCCAAGGCCCCGAAAGCTTTAACGGTGCGTAAGCGTCTGGCGGAGAAATCCTGGGGTTGTACGCCCAGGATCCTAACCTATGGGGCGGTAGCTTGGACTCAAGAGTCTAGCCACGGTGAGACAGTCGCTCACCAAGCTACAACGTCTGGCATGTGTATGCATAACAGAAGTAGTCCTTGAACTTGAGCCTCTTCATATAACCATAGAGCAGGCAGCCAAAAGAACTCTGCTTAACATTGCGAGAGAGGGATTAGGAAAAGGTAAAGTCATCTCCTCTAGGAGTATGGAGAAGCTAGGGCCCTCGCTCCCACCAGCCCTGTTACCTAGAGATGACTTAGGCAAGACCATAGTTTTTGAGAAGAGATTCAAAATAGAGCTTTGCAGTAAAGCAACCTGGAGTGTCCCCGATTTCGAGGCACTACGTCACGGTTGCACTCCGCACTGCTACACGGATGGCTCGAAGACCACAGAAGGAATAGGTGCTGGAATTGTCGGACCCAGGGCCTGGATCTCAGTTCCTATGGGTATCCGAGCATCTTTCAAGCAAAAATTTACGCCATATAGCTATGTGAGGATACAGTCATGTGTAGAGAGTATTGAAACGAGAGAATCGTAATCCTAAGTGAGAGCCAGGCAGCGCTCAGGGCCCTCATATCCCAAAAAGTCAAATCGTCGCTGGTCCTGGAGTGCATTGAGAAGCTTAACTCCCTGGGTAGACACAATAACATCAAGTTAGCGTAGGTACCTGGTCGCAAGGGAGCCTGGTCGAGGCGGCAGCCATTACTCAGGTTAGCCCTGAGCCCTTCTAGGAGTGGGTCCCAGCACTCTAAAAGAGGATCTTAGGACAGAGAGGATCACTGTGAGGGATCAAAACTGGCAAAGTTCGTCAGGAATGCGTCAGAAAAAGAGTCTACTGGGAAGTTATAAGAGGAGGAGATTCAAAGGTTAATTGATCTGCCAAAAGGCCAGGTTGGGGATATGGTCGAGCGAGCTTTGTCGGTTTTACGACTCTACCAGCTAGACACCTCTACACATCCGTGATGTGATGCAGTCTGCAGAAGACGTGAGAGAAGTGGCCACAGCTTAGGCACATTCACTCCCTATCCCCTAAGGAACTGTGGAATTTTCTCAGGGATTTAGGTGTACAGGAGGTATTGTGAAGAGTAGAGGGCACAATAGACCACTAGGTAGCGGCGCAAACCTCATTTAATTATCTATCTATCTATCTATCAGGATCTAGCAGGGAGTAAATATCAGATGTCAAAACTTCGTGGCAATATAGCAATTTATTTCTTTACCGTTTGCTTAAAAGGTCCGTACTTAGCTTTATACATTGAAATAAGAAAAATAAGCATGGTTCTTAAAATTAAGCTTGGAAGCCCTGTATAAACATAATAAGCAATTCCAAGCAAAAGCTTAAACTTTTCGGCCCTGCTCATGAGGCTAGTGAAATTTTTTACAAATACATACATAGAAAATTTAACTTTAATTTAATTGCAAAGATTGTTGATGTTTATAATTCTTCTGCCCCAAATTTAAGCAAAAACTATGCAATTTTATGAAATGGAGATTCTGGTGCCAAAATTAAAAAGTATTACATTATAATACATATTTCTTGTAAATACAGTTCTTTAATATTTCAAAAGCTTTCATTCATTGAAATTAAATTGATAAAAAGCTCTTCTTAAAATATTCATTCGCTTTAATTTATAATATTCTATTCTGCGGTTGTCAAAAATTTACTGCTGTCAAAAAAAGATTTCATTTCACACAGCAGATTGGCAAAACTGTCTCACCATAGTAAAAGTATTATTCACCAGCTTTGTGAAATAAATAACGGCAAAGCACTAATTTAAAGAATTGTTTCCAAAATTGCGCTTGGAAATAGGTTATTGTAAACTTGCCTTTTTAGTTTAAAAAAACTTCACTGGAATTATTTAATTGTGAGCTTAGCTACGTATATCTACTTAAATATGGGGATAGGAACGACCACATATTGGAGTTGAAATTATATAAGCATTTCAGGCTGACGTCAGGCTTAACCAGGGTTGCCAGGTGTCCTGTTTTTGACCGGTCAGTCCGGATTTTAGTCTGCTCGTCCGGGAGACAATAAACAAAAACGGACTGTGAAGTGTGTGATCTGTTTAAACACACACATACACGGCCCTCCACCGCCTCGCCCTCCTCATCTGGCAACCCTGGTATTAACGTGCTAATGGGCAGTGTTTCAGTGCAAGTTTAAACTTATATCACTTAAACTGGTAATGATTTCAAATTGGCCGGGATGGGAGGTATCGGAAAGGTCCGTAAAACTTTTCGGGACGGGACGGGACCAAACTCCTTTCCAGACACTCCCGATAAAGCCCCAACCTCCGCAAGTTCAGAAAATCTTCCTTAAGAACGATATATGTAATATTCGCTTTTTTATGTTTTATTGAGACGAAAAACGAACAGCAAAGCTAAACAAAATAATCGGAATATGCCAGATCTTCATTTTTTTTATTATTTAAAATTCATTTGAAGGACGCGTGAATTTTTTTTATTGATAGATTTCGGGACCCGGGGACCCGCGGTACAACTCTGAAAAACGTCGGGACGAAAACCTGGCCGTTACGAAAGCAACAGTTCATTTTTACCAATAAGTTCTACACGTACATACAGCGATTTTTTCAGTGCCAATGAAGACAAGGCCTAGGTCCAAACTTATGTACCGCAATGTGTTTGACCATGGATGTACGCAGTTGCGGGTTTAATTCTAATAGAAAATTTATGATTTTGCAAAAAAAAATTAAGATGAATATACTTAATATTTCAATATTTTCTACTTTGCACTTGTAATTTAGGTTTGTGTATGCTTAGCCTTCACAGAAACATTTGATCGATTTGCAGAATACCATCGGAGACTATTGTTTAAATAAAAAATAATGTAAAATTACGATTTTCGGTGTAAAGACGAAGTTGCATTTTAAAATTTGTATGCAATTAAACAGAAAAATTAATGACTAAAATTGTTATAAATTTTTTAATAACTATGTATATTTTAACATTTCTAATAAAATGTATCTACTTTAGAAATAATCTCGCCTTCCCGTCTCCTCCCTCTAAATTGTGCTCTGCGTACACCCATGTGTTTGACCCGTTTTTTATGATTGGGAACTGCTTTATTGCCTGAATAGCATAAATTATCGGAAATTTTAAATTGTGAGTTCTACTTAAATGGCAAAAATAAATAAATTACTATTCATTACGGTAGATCAATTATACTAATATTGCGCAATTTGTTCTGTATCCATTGTCATAGATGTTATTATGCTTGCAATTTGTTTCTGTGTGTTTTTATGTGTAAGTACATATGTACATGCATATACATATACATATATATGTATATACGTGTGTAGATATGTATGTATGTGCATAGGCATATGTACATATTGCAATTAAGTCACGTCTTCGATATATATATCGTCGTTTAAAGTACAAAACCGCGTATCAACAAAATGCAAAACAGCGTATCAAGATAATGCAAAACAGCGGTGAGGTTGCATAAATTATTTTCTAGAGAGTAAAAACACTCATATTTCAAAATGATTCTCTTTTTCATAAAGGAATCACATTTCTGGCTAGTGTATGTCAGGACGAATGGATAAAGCTTGAGCCAAGAGCTTGTGTGAGCAAATCCAATTTTTGGCAAAAAATGTCAGTTACGCGGTTTTGCAGAACGACGATACATAGTTTTGTACTTTAAACGACGATATGTATGTACATATCTATACATATACCTACGTATACCCATTCACATACATATGTAGTATGTATTAATATATTTATGTTAGTAGCTCCATAATAATTTTGGTTAATAGGCTAGTTCATTCATTATACATTATTCTGTCTATTCACTAAAAATAAATATAGGGGCCAGCTTTTTAATATTTATGCATATGGATGTATTTATGTAGGTAGTTATATACAGAGGCTGGTTGATGTGCGTCCAATATGTGTGTTTGTGTTAGCGGGTAACTGTTGCTGATGGATAAAGGGGAGCCAAAAATGGCTTGAAGGAAAGCGTGTAATTTTTATGCCTTTGCATTCAACCATTTAACCATCTCAACAAATCTCACGTGTTGTTGAACAGCAGCGCCTCTATGCTAAATGGATTGTTCCGCCGGATACTAATCGGGGATGTTTGTTGTTGATTGGTATTGTGATTATGACGATGAATTTGATTATGTTGATTTTGGTGGTGCTGGGTTTGATATTCATGGGCGGGTGTATTGGAATTCGATAGATTCAAGCGCAGATTGGTAATAGCGGTATTTGCTGTAGGAAAAATGAATGGCTTTCCACAGCCATCTGTAGGATTGCTATCATCTTCGGTGTTGCGATCTCCGTTGGACACTGGACTTTCAATACCATTGGGACTACTAGTTGGTGAGAAGCTGCCTGGGGCCATACTACTCGCTCTAGGACTACGGAAGGAGGAATCGTCAGGGTCGTCGTCACTATCCGTACCCCCTACTACATCGATTTGTATGCCGTCGTCCTCAAGATCTGAGTCAGAAAAAGTGCCATTAGCCTTATGTTGTGATATGTATTCGGCCTTGAGTGCCTCTAGGTCGACAGTGATGCCTTTGGCTTGCAATTTCCTCGCTTGTCGATCAATAGCTTTCGCCAATTTCTTTCTTCGTCGTGCCCTAGTGAAAGAATGAAGCATGTGTATTTTTCATCATTAGTATTTTTTAAATCTATCTGCTTGAATGAAATACAGTAAATGCAAAAATATCAATGCGACAAATTTTAAATATTACAGGAGAAGCAAACAACTTTTTAAATTTACATCTGAAATGCTTACAGAGCTGTTTTAAATATAGTATATAAGTATTTACTTATAAAGCTCGTATTTTTCAAACTAAGGCTTTGATTTCGGTATAACGGAGTATCTGAAAGCCAACTAACGCAATATTCAAACCCGGAATTTTACTTATTATTTAAACTTGTTAGATTCTAAGTCTAAACTAATTATTAGGTAAATTGATTATGCTCCAAGTCTGAACTACTTCTTACGAAACACAAGATGATAAGTCGAAATTGAATTGAATGAATCGAGGAAATCCTGTAAAATAAGACCGAATTCTAAACTCCAGATGTCGTTTAATTTATTTCAGGTAATTATTTAAGTTTAAGTTTATTGTATTTGGTGTAAACAATTGTAATAGAATAGAAACATCTTTTTTAGAAATACAATTAAGTTTATATTTTGGTAAAATACACATTATATTTATATTGACCATTATTCACCTTTCTTTGGCTTTCAATTCACTGGGCGGAATAGGTTCCCCGGAGCAGGTTTGAGGTTGGGCATTATGTGCAGGTCGTCCAGGGCCTTTTTTGGTGTGTTCACGTTTTCGCACTTTTGCTCTTCGATTCTGGAACCATACCTATCTGGAACAAAGCGTTTCATTTCAGAAATTTCAAACATTTACTTTGGTGAATGAAATTAGCTTATTAATAATTAGTCCGGTCAAAATAGACATTTAAGTTTATACACGGATAGAAGTTTTTACATAAAGTTGTATAAATGTTTTCTTGGTCGCGATATAGTAAATAATTCATTAAAACAGTTTACTGAAAATACGAAAACGGGCTTCCTGTTTACAAACAACAACTAAATATTAAAAAAAAACTATTAGAAAAAATATTATATTAAATAAGAAAGCATTTTCTCAAATTTACTAAATTTAGGAAAATAACTTTTCTTATGCTAAGAAAACGATTTTCCAATCTACTTAAAATTTGAAAACAAAAACAAAGCACAACGGAAAATAAATTAGAAAATACTTTCTTTCTCCGAGAACGTGTGGAAGGCACCTAAGAAACTTATACAAATACATATTTACAAACACCAGCCACGACTTCCTCAGAATTGAACCCACCAGAAAATTTTTGTTGCCGGAATATTCTTTTTTAATATTTCATTTGTTTTTGAACACAAACTTATAATTTGTAAACGAAATTTACTATTTTCGTCGCTATGGGGCTTCCTATTTTTGCAACCCTGTCTTTGGCATAAATAGGATGTTTTCGGAGAATCATGTTGACGCGGAGTTCAACACTTTGGGAATTTTGAAAACATATTCCAAAAATGGCATAAAAGAAATAATTTTGCCGATTTCTCACTACGGCAATAAATCGGCGTGTCGCCAATTTGTTGCCATTGGGTAGGTACAGAATGCGCAGCAGTTGAGTGCAACCGTTGCTAAAAAGATCAGTTATCATAATGCGTCTTCTGAACGGCTTGATACATAAGCTGTCAAATTCAACAACACACAAAATGTTGTCTCAAATGATCAGGAAAATATTACGATAATCTAACGCGCAACTGTTCAGTTGATCAGAAGTACAAAACAACGCGTTCAGAAGGTGCAATCGCAACAGTTGCTGAGCGGTTGCGCCTTCCGAACGTGCCAATTGATGATTGTTGCCTATTTCTCATGTTTTGTATGGTGAGAACTGTAAATAAACAAGAAAATGCTTTCTTAAAGGAAGTCAGAAATTTCTTATTTATTCTCTAAGAAACGTATATGTACATTTGGCAATATCATATTTGTATGTACATATGAACATAAAGCGACTTCTGCCTTTGAACTGTCAAAGCCAAAACTAAAACGCAGTCAATTGCTTTCCTGGCAAATGTCGGTTCTGGCGTCGCGTGAAGATTACCGCTTCTGATTCCGAGATCGTAGGTTCGCTTGGATGTGGCTAGAGGAAGGTGAGTTAATTATTTTAATTCAAATAAGTATAAATTGCAAAATGAGATTTTTTTCTTTTTAAAATACAATTTAAAAATAACAATACAAAAATCAAAAATTTTAAAAAAATCCCTTCTCTAGGACTCGAACCTTCAATCTCTAGACTGGCACTCCAGAGCTTTGCTCTGTCGGCCATTGCGACATTGATTTGAACAAACGTTTTCTTATTTATTTTAGTATATGTATGTCAAGACTATCTGCCAGTTTCACGAAAACAATTTTAAGTGAAAAAATGAATCATTCGCATAGAGCTGAAAATTGATACACGTCTTAGCTACACTATTGCAAATAAAATATCAAAAATGCCCACTGATCCCAAAAAAAAATTATTCAAGGTAAGAGGTCTGAAACACAGGTTTCTCGCTATTTTCTCATATGCGGTAAGTGTTGTCGTAAAAAATAGAAAAACGAAAGAAACGAAACAAAAATTGCTATAATACTTTTTCCCTACGAACTTCCATTACCGAGTTATCGCGATTTCAAAAGTTGAAAAAGTCATTTTTTGCATGCTATGCACACTATAATTAACATTTATAAGCATATACAATAGGGCGGGTCGAAAATCTAATTTTTCTCAAATCCCTTGGTAATAGTGAAAATATATTGTATCATGAAGTCAACAACAAGCCTTAGAAATATTAGTCTTTCATTTTAATTGTAACAGCCCGCGCATCGACCGCCAAGTGACCCACAGCACACTAGTCGAATAAGACCAATGCTTGTTAAAAATACTGGGTTTAGCCAAAACTTTTGGTGCATATTATTAGATAATGAATCCTTTAACGCAAAAGATAAAGTCAAGTATCATTTCGCGTAGCCGTTTATCTTATCGTTAATCTCAAACTCATCTATTTTCAAGAAAATTTTAATTGTTCTCTTGATAATTGCGGTGGCCTATAGTCAAAAGATGTAAAGAACAGCATTAATATTGCTGGCGTGCATTTAGATCGCTAGTTCCCAATATTCGAATCCTTTTTTAATATTAGCTATAGTTTGCGATTTTTTGCAAATTTAGGAACAATTTCGGTAGCTCTAATAGAATTTTGTTTATGCAAATTAGTATGGAAACACTGAACAGGCACAACTTCTAGACACACTAATTGGTTTACTTATGTTTATGCATACAATATAAAAATTGCAAATATAAGAAAATGATAAAAAAATTTGTTCAAGATTTTTTTTTATTTTAAAATAATTTGTTTATAATCTGAACTATTTTAGTCATATTATTATCAAAAATCAGTAACATTAAGTCTCGCCTTCAATTTGTTAATTATTACGCACCGATCGAGTAACACTTACCAAAGTTATATCGAAAAGCTTAAGTGGATTTCCAGTTTTTTTCTAAAAAAATTTCTCTTCAATTGTATAAATAACCTTTAAATAAAAGAACCGGATTACAGAAAACTGTGCCAGCGAGTGACTTTTTTCGTTCAAGCTGAATGCAAAGCAATATCGTCCAATTGGAGAGTCCTCAAACGGATTTCTCAGGATATGTTGAAAACTATTGCATTTACCTACAGACACTTTTTCACATAATGGAATCAACTAAAATATTTATGTATATCTAAACACTTATTGCACGTCCCCTACTTTCATATAACGGCAAATTTAGAAACAGCGAAAAATGTGCTTCTGCGGCGACTAATGAAACCATTCCGCACCAGTTTTCAAGACTGCAAAAATGGACTTAAAATAGGCGTTTCTCAACCTAATTGTAATGTATGTAAATACTTATATGTTTGAAACTACTATTAACTTGTCGAACGATTCCTAATCTTTGACAATACATTCATTCACCACGATCTTGAAAACTGACCAAATCGGCGTGACCAAGTCCATGGTCATTTTAATATTATATAAACATTAAAAGGTTTGAAATAAATCTCGTTCAACTTTTTTGTATTTTTCACTTGGTTGCTGAAGTAATGAAGAATTGAAAATTCATATGAGAAAATCATAGTTTTCTTATTTTTGATTTTAATATCTTAAAATCGTGTAGACTTATTGAAAAATGATAAATGAACGTGAGGTTCTAAATTTAATAGCCCTTAATTTGATATATCGTCCTGTTTATAACAATAACGCATTCCATAGATATTACAAGCCAAAGTTTCATTTTCGAAATTCATACACTTTGATTCAATTGCGAGGGCTAAAGATAAGTTTTAAATTAATCTTTCGTAGCCAATAACAATTGGCTGAGACCTAAGACATCATAATATTACTATTACAATGCGGTCAAATGACTTTTATTTTCCCCCATACAAAATCGACCCAGCCTAATATACAATTTTACAAGAAAGCCAATAATTAATTTTTAGTTTTTAAATTTTTAATGCCTTTAATTTTTCCCACCATGCAAAAATGTTCTAGATTTTTTGTAGAAAAGTACTTATTGAGTTTATTGCCATACCTTTACCAAATATTACGCAATCCTTTTGAAAAGGGACTGAGTGAAAATCTCTCAGTGGGCCACCCAAAATTGGACGGTCAAGATTTATTCGCACAAATCTCTTTATTCGGTTTACAACCATAAAAAAAATATAATGAGAGCAATTTTGCAAAATTCGAAGTTTTACAAGAGTTATTGTTATCCACTGATTCATAGCATGTATCTTGCTGATTTTTCCACGATAATAGTTAATTAGACACGCTTTAGCCTGGTTGTTTCAATTTTCAAATAATTACACAGGTTTACAAAAAAAAAAAAGCTTATGCATATTAAACCAAACCTATATATCCCTATGTTATTCGACACGCTGAATGCAAATCCGAAGTTCGTTAGTCTCCACCACGTCAGGTTCGTGGTCAGTTGAAGGTCAAGTAGGGAAAAATTCATTGAACAAACCTGAATATTCACATGGTGACAGGTAATAAGATCAACGGAAATAAGGTCAGTTGACTTTATTTCCCACCCTGGTGCGAAATAAAGTCAATTGACATTATTACCTTTTTAAAAACGAAATAAAATCCATTTTCTCTTTCAAACATTAAATTTGCTTAACTTCGCGGCGGCCCGCGTCAGCGCGCCACACCGCGCGCGCCGCGCTCGCGCTCGCGCCCCGTGTATCCCCGCACGACCGGCGCGCACACCACGTCACGCTACGCCGCGGCCCCCCCGGCCCCCGCTTCCTCGTCTCCCGCCGTGCTGTATCGCAGGTAGATTTATTTTTTGTATACGTTGAAATAAAATTTTTTATATATTTTAAACATCGAGGGCTTATATTCAATAATACCCTCTATCTGCACACTTTTCACAAGGATGAGATTCTGATATAAAAATCTACCTAAGCTTTAACTGTCATCAGTGATATTAATGCTACCGTATATAATGACAGGTAATAAGTCCCAGATGGTTTCTAAAATCACAAATTAGTTTTTGTGCAAATTGCAGATAGAATTCAAGCTCTCGATATTTCACATTTTTATATTTTATATTATTAGAAGCAGGGATGCCAACTTGGCTCAAACCTTGCCATTTGTCCCTATTTTACTTCAAATGGCACTTAATTTTTCAATTTGGCACAAAGTGCCAAAATGGCACAACTTACATTTCAATATTTTTTGTGAAATCCTTTTCGTACACTTCTTTTTCTTAACTAAAATTTTCTAATTTATAAAGGTTA